TTTTTTTGGTGCCAGGGATTGAACTCGGGTCCTTGTGCTTGGCAAGGCAGGCCACCAAACCACTGATCTAAATCCCCGGCCCTAAAAATCATGCTTTACATGGTAAATTAATATAATTTTATCTGACATTTAAAAATAAATACAGACGAACCTTCATAAAAAAGAACATATTAGAAATGTAAACTAATGCATTATGATTTTGATACATATGTTGTTGTATGAAGTTGAATCTAATTCTGAATAAAACAACTTAGGGTAAAGCAATATGAAAATGAAAATAAAATTGATTTTACTGTCAATTTCATGCTATTATTTCTTAATTATTTACATTATCAATAATGCACTCAAGCATTAATTCAAGAAAGAGTAAAAATCTTGTTCTTGCCTGTCAAAAAAAACTGACATAAGAAATATTCTAATAGGTTTCCATACACACTATGAGGTTTAAAAGTGGATTAAAATGTATAAGTTCTCTAAGATCTACAATCTGCAAGCATAAAATGTTTTCATTCTTCATTTTCAAACTAATGCATATTCCTGCTTATATTTTTGCTGGGTTAAAATGACTCAAATTACAGGTCAAGAAATAGCTTTGTGTCTTTTTCATAGAAGAGACAGTAAATTTAAACCTTTTGTAGATCAGATAAAAGGAAGAGTGATCTGCAGAGATGGAAAGTATTCTTTCACAAACTTATGAAAACAAATCAGAAGAATCAGTCCATACAGATTTTAGTTCTTTCCTTTCACTTTTTCAAATTGTTTTACCAACCCAGGTACACAGTTCTATATTGTTTTTGTTTGCTTATTTGTTTATTTGTTTGTTTGTTTTGGTACCGGGGATCCAACTCAGGTCCTTGCACTTGTGAGGCAGGAGAGGAACCAATGAGCTAAATCCCTGGCCCACCAGGTACACAGTTTTGCAAGAAGGGGTGAAGATGCACCTCACCTTGATACAGAGAGGGTTCCCTGCTCTCAGCCTCTGAACCCCAGCACAGGGTGGATACCAGGTCTGGGAAGCTCCTGCTCTTCAGGGCTGTCCTAGCTTGCACTCTCCCTGAAGCACCATGGAGAAGCACATTCAAGATACTCACTGTATAGAAGGGTGAATATATTTAAGGATCCCATATTGTATTCTTGAAAAATATAAAGAGATTGGATGTAATATGATCTCACCACAAAATTATAACTACTGAGGTCGTGCATTTATTACTTAGCTAAATTTAGGCATCCCATAATAATATTTCAAAATATTGTGTACTACCACATAAATACATACAATTTTAACTGTCAAAGGAAAAAGAAAGAAAGGAACTCTGTAAGACATGGAATTTCTCTAGGTAGTGAATACATTATAAACAAAGTCTATCACTTCTCAGCCTTTTGGCAAAGATCAAGTATATTATAAACAAAGTCTAATACTCAACAATGTTAATTTTCAACACTAGAATAATAGTACATCATAAATCTGTAAAATAAATTTATAGCATACATTGATTTTCTGGGTAACTTTAGTTGGAATTCTATCAGTGAAATATGGCATCTCAGATAGTTGTCTTTGACACCCATGCTCAAAACCATTGTCTCTGAAACATCCCATGTTCCATCTTCAAAGTTCTGAGTAGCATGTTGAGAATTATATGTATATTTTTACCTGGTTGTCTCAGTGACCATGAGGTGTGATTCAAATATTTCAGTGACTATCAGCATTAGTTTCGTTCTTGTCTCAGGAGTCACTTACTTTAACACTAGATCCTGGAAAAAGTAGATATTCTTAAAATATTTATGAGCCATTTTATGACAAGTTATAACAGCTCTCACATTAATAGTGCAAATCACCAAGAAATTGTCTAATAGACTACATCAACACAGATAGCCTCATGAAGCATCTATAAAATCAGATAACTTCTAGTCATGGAGTAATAAGATATTTCAGCTATATACTTTTATGTAATAATAACCAACATGCTCTATATGTTATGAATAACATGGTGGTGTTAGGGGGCCACAGAATATGGGGCCTGTCTTTCTGGGCTGAAATTTTACTGGTTCTGTATGATGATTCAAGTCGAAAAATTTGCTCAAGGTTTCATGCTTCAGCTTACATATCTAAAACAAGAAAGAAATATATATATTTTACCAGGGCAGATATTAAGATTTAAAAGTTTAATGTAGTAAAATATAATAGTACTGATAGACACAAGGCATGCATCTGAATCAGCACTATCTGTTACGACTTCAGTTTGTCTTGGGGTCTGTGTGCTACAGTGTTCTTCGCATCAGGATGAGGACACCACGTCTGCCACATGACAAGCAGTCTCTGCCTTTCAAGCCTGGCTTTTGCACAGCACAGCAGTGTATAAGTGTGTTCAGATGCACGGTCTGTGCCAGTGTTGTTATTAACAATGATGATGCAAAAACAAACCACTTATAAATGTTGAA